GATGATGATGATGATGATGATGATGATGATGATGATACTGTTGGTGGTCTTGGTGATAGTGAGGATGATGCTGATGATATGGGTGATGATGATGATGGCGATGACGATGATAATGGGGATGGTTATGGTGATGATGATGCTGCTGCTGACGGTGATGCTAGTGATGATAATCCTGCTGATGCTGACGCTGATGCTGATGCTGATGCTGATGATGATGCTGCGGCTGATAATGATGATTCTACTGCTGATAAGGACGAGGACGAGGACGAGGATGATGATGGTGATGACGATGCTGATTGAAATGGTTTTTATGATGGTGCTTGTGATGGTGATGCTGATGATGATGCTCTGATGATTTTGATGATGATGATGATGATGATGATGATGATGATGGTGACGGTGGCATTGATGGTGATGGCCATGCTGATGATGATGCTGCTGATGATGGTGATGAGGATGATGGTGATGGTCATGTTGATGATGATTATGATGCCGCTGATGATGAATATGATTCTGCTGATACTGATGTTGGTGATGGTGATGATGCGGCTGATGATGCTGCTAGTGATGATGAAGACGAGTATGAGTATGAAGATGAGGATGGTGATGGCGATGGCGTGATGGTGGTGATGATGATGATGGCGATGGGGATGGTGATGCTGCTGCTGATGATGATGATGACGATGGTGGTGCTGGTTGTGATGCTGATGATGATGGTGATGGTGATGATGATGGCGATTCTGATTCATATGGTGATGGTGATGTTGATGGTATGATGGTGATGGTGATGATGCTGATGATGGTGATGGTGGTGGTCAGGATGATGATGATGATGATGATGATGATGATGATGATGATGATGATCATGCTGGTGATGGTGCTGGTGGTGATGATGGTCATGATGGTGGTGATGGTTACGATGATAATGATGCTGGTGATGATGAGGATGATGATGATTTCGGTGGTGGTGGTGGTGACGATGATTTGCTGTCGATTGTGATGTTGTTGGGGAGATGGTGATGATGATGCTGATGATGATGATAATGATGATGATGAAGGTGATGGTGATGGTGATGGTGTGGTAGTAATGATGATGATGATGATGATGATGATGATGATGATGATGATGATGATGATGTTGATGATGATGGCGATTGCGATTTTGATGGCGACGAGGATGATGATGCTGATGGTGGTTCTGATGCTGCTGATGATGATGATGTTTTTGATGATGCTGACGATCATGATGATGATGATGATGATGATGATGATGATGATGATGATGGCGATGGTGATGATGTTGTGATGTTGTTGATGATGATGATGATGCTGATGATGATGCTCATGATGATGCTTATGTTGATGATGATGTTGCTGCTGTTGATTTTGATGGTGATGGTAATGATGATGATGATGTGATGATGCTGATGATGATGATTATCATGATGATGATGATGATGATGATGATGATGATGATGATGATGATGGTGATGGTGATGATCATGCTGCTGCTGATGATGATTATAATGGGGACGAGGACGAGGACGATGATCAGGATGATGAAGACGACGATGCTGATGATGCTGATTACGATGATTATGATGATGCTGGTTATGATGATGCTGATGATGATGATTCTGCTGATGCTTATGCTTATGCTGATGATGCTGCGGCTGAGGATGATGGTGATGTTGCTGCTGATGATGATGACGAGGTCGATGATGATGATGGTGATGGTGATGGTGATGATGATGATGATGATGATGATGGTGATGATGATAATGACAATGATGATGGTGATGATGGTGATGATGATGATGATGATGATGATGATGATGATGATGATGATGATGATGATGATGGTGGTGGTGAGACTGCGGCACTGGCCTTACAGGTCTGGCCCCATATCTTCCGGTTTCTCCAGCCAGTGGAGAGCCAGTTCGAACGGACGAGTACGACGACGACGACGACGTCGTACAGGGCAGCCTCACCCCAGGCTTGCCCGCCTGGTGGCTCCAGGGCTCGTTGGCCCGAGCATCATATCGACATCTGGAGAGTGCTCAAACATCGCTGTCCACCGAGTTCGACACCATCCACCAGCTCCTCACCTACCTTACCTCACTCGACATCGTGGAGGCATGCGGTGGGGAGGCGCGGGCCAGCAGACTGGCTATCCGATGCCACCTCAGTGCTGGCGAGAACTTCGATTTGTTCACTGGCTGTGGCCTCAACGACGAGAGCCAGCAGCGAGCCGTGTAACGATACGTTCGTCAACGTTGGCCACTAGTTGCCATCATGGCTCCCGGTGGCCTGTCGGTCTATGGGCGACCGTCAACTACAAGCGAAACCGCCACATCTAGCAGCGTTCCTACGAGGACGCGGTCCCTTATGGCCGATTTTGCGGCTTTCTAGCACAGTTGCAGATCGAGATGGGCGGCTATTTCGTCAACGAGCAGCCCGAACCATCATGGCTGTGCGCCGAGCCGCCCTGGTCAGAGGTACCGGCAGTACCGAGCGTGGACAAGGTCATTTTCGACCAGTGTCAGCTTGGGCTTCGGGATCGCCGCAGAGACATCTTGAAGAAGACCGCCGGGCTGGTTTCCAAAGCCCTGGAGATGTTCGAGCAGTTCTCCGACCCCTGCTGCCCAGGCAAGAGCGCGCACGTCCACGCGTAGTGAACTTACGTCGGCGTCTGCCGCGTCCGCATCTCGCGAACTGTGTTCGCGAATGCGGCGTCCGATCAGCAGCCTTCCCAGCTGTGGCTACCGGCGCTGAGGGAGAGATCGGACGCGAAACTGCAGCCGAGCGCGCGCGCTACACATGCAAGGCGTGCAAGCGCAACGTGCGGGCGGACTCACCGATGCACTCCCCGCGTGCTTTCACGAGTTTGGCAAGTGCAGGTTCCCGGACCCCTACGTCCGACCGCGCCCGCGCGCCAGCCAGCACCCGCGAGCACTGGCGCGACCTGGGGGACCACGTCGCTCCAGCGATCAGCAATCTCAGCTGCCCAGCGGCCCAGACCTTGGAGCAGCAAGCGAGGCTGCCCTTCCACCTGCGCTAGCAGGAGGGTCAGGAGTCAGCTCATCACCCAGCGCTGGAGCTCAGGGTACTGGTTCGGGCGACTGTGTCGCTCGACCAGGGATCCGAGCGAATCCAGCGCCGGACGCAGAGCCTCGTCGAGCAGCGCGGCGAGTTGCCGACGCAGATGTAGGCAACCCAACGTCCCCATGCTGGACTCGCTTCGACGTTACTTTCTCCATGCTGGCACTTCGCAGTGACTCGCATGAAACACGCATGCGGGAGCTTCGCAAGCTACGCCTCCGGCAGTGGCGCGCCGCCAAGGTGGAGATTGCGCGAGCACTGCGAGCAGCCGACAGATCACAGGACATCCTCAATTTCATCCCCAAGGTGGCTATCAACTGCAAGGGGCGTCGCAGGCGGCGACAGCCAGCGCGCCGCGCTATCCTTGCGCTCCGCCTGTCGACGCGTTTCAACCAGCGCGTCGAGT